TTAAAATACATTAAGGTTGTAGGTGTTATTTTTCAATGCGCTGTTATTAGATTGGTGCTCGGTATCATTAAGAGGGTGAAAATGGCATTCGAACATCTTCACCTAACAAAATGCTTGTGTCACATCCCAGTGGTGAGGACAACGCCCAATGAATGCACAAGACGGAGAATAAAACTGTCTACAATGATCAAGTCTTCCCAATGAATGTGTTCTCCAATATCTCCAGGAGTAGAGACACACTTGAGGTCTTGGGGAGCGATAGCACTCACACACCAGCATTTCATTAAAGACGACGGCTTGAATTTAAATGAAAAACAGTGCATCAGCGAAAAAGAGCCGGTGTAATCTGCAGAGTCGAACTCCCGGTTGATCAGGTTTACTCACTGTTTGGAAAGGGAGTGAGAGGCATTTCAAAAGGCTCGGTTGTTGCAGTGGGAGAGAATCATATCAAGGTAAAAGCTTTCTCAGTGCAAGGGCCAAAGCACAGAGAGCTTAATTGCTGCTGCTTGCTGCTGCTTGCTGCTGCTTGCTGGCAGCGAGTCCTTCTCATCAAGAGGCTCTGGGTCTATTTACTCTCCATTGTTGAGACTCTTTACTGAAGGAGAGGTTTACTGCTGAACTCGCATTATAAAGCTGGCCAAAGTCTTTTCATTGTGTTTAAATGTCCCCTGCTTCTCCATCTTTCTTTCTGTCCCTCTTCTCTTTTCAGGTTCAGCAGAGGTGGCCTCCACTTGGACATCAAGCTCTTTTCTACAGCACACTCTCGCCCTCCAGTGGTAATATACTGTTACTACATCCACATAAAAAAGAACTGTTGCCTGACACACAGCTGTGAGACCAATCCCTCTAAAAGTAAATTTCTTTTCCCTCCTCTTTGTGTTGCAGATGTGTCTGTGAAGTACAAATATGGCCGTTTGGTTCTGGAGGTCCCGTTGCCATCCAGGAACGAAAAGTGTCTGTTCTTCCTCCGGCCCATGCTGATGAGCGTGGGAGACCTGATCACGGATCTGCAGAGAGAGGATCCTGGAGCGACTGCTTCTATTTTCTCCAAGGGTACGACACGTGTTAGCTATGCACATACTGGGCAGAACACGTTCTTCAGGTGTAGTCAGTCTGGTTTAACCTTTTGTTTTTGGTGCTGCCAGATTTAGTAGGTTGTGTATAAACTCTGAAAGCTGAATAAAGTAGTTTGGCATGATTCCTGAAAAATATATTTTTAATCATCAACTAATTTTCACCACAGCAGCAAGATTATAAATCAAGTGTAAAGGTTTTCAAAAGTTAATCAGTAACACTTTTCTGAAGAAGTGCATGCAGTTACAACACAAACTATACTTTACCTGAGTATTTTCACTTTTGCTTCTGTACACTGATTATCTACTGATTAAAATACTCAACCTGTCACACTACATTTAGTCAAGATACAACACAATATAAATCAAGAGATTATGATATATCATAGTAGATTAAACTACCAGCAATATAAATTATAAAGTGGTTAAAATCAGTTCTACCAGATTCTGCAACAAAGTAATGTACATATTATTACATCAGCAATTATAATCCAGTAAAATGTTCTGATCCGATCCCGTAAATAGGCCACTCTGAATAATGAGTATTTTTACATTGGCTACTTTAAGTCTATTTTAAGTCCAACCATGTTCATCTTTTTACTTTTACATGTTGAATGCGTGACATTACTTCAAGCAGTGTTTATATTGTGTGTATTTCTACCTTTATTTAATTAAAAGACATGAATACTTGTTCCACCTCTGTGGAAAAGTACCCTGCACTGCTGGGGAGTTGTTTCACTTTCTAATACAAAAGGTCAGCACTTCCCAGCTATAACATTCAAACTGGATCATTGTCTGTTTGTGACCCTCGACACAGGTTAAAGGACAACTCCACTGACTTCACATGTTGAAGTCCGTTTACAGGTGTTGTGGACAAACTGCTGCATATGAGAAAAATAAAACGTTGTTAGAAGTCTTGGGTCAGTGTTTGTCGAGGCTGAAGTTTGAAAATGAAAACAGACGAGTGGAATATGCTGATTAGATTTTGTCTCTACTTGTGGTTAGAGGTTCAAGACTACATAGAATAAAAAAGAGATTCTGTTTCATTGGTTTTGATCCTTGTCCTTTACATGCAGTGCTCTGTAATGTAGATGTGCACTATGAGGATTAAGATAGGATTTTCCATTTTATGTGCTTTTATTTGAAGGATTGAAGAGGTCAAATGTTCTTACATTTCACAAGAAAAAAATAAAGAAAAGTAAAACAAATCATTAGTTTTCTGTCCAAGAGATTTTTTTCTCTCTCTCTAACCTTTAGACACCTCGCAGTCTCTCAGATTTATTTTGGATTCCTCCCAGTTTGGAAACTAAATAATAAGTGTTAAACAGGCCAGATGTAGGTTGTCAAACATTGTGTTTTCAGTAAATACCTACAGCAGTTACAGTGGTGTTGGGTGTCTATTTGCTTTATCCATAATGCAGCACAGTTTCTGGAAAGACTGGAAAAACATGCTTTTTATTCTGTAGCACTCTGTCCATCAACACCACCCGAGTACAACATGCAGGGACATTGTTCAGAAGCTGCTGAAAGGTATTTTAAGTAGATAAGGGAAGTTTAAAGGTCGTGTTTTATTATTTCATAAAATGGGATGTGGTAGAACTGCACAGCATAGATTTATTTCCCCCATATATCTAATTTCTATCCAAGGTTTATGTTGGAGTGATCTGGTGAGCTTTCTATTGTGTTCTTATGTCCATTAGTCTGTCGCTGTTTCGTGTTTATGTGAGCAGTCTGTCTGAAAACTGTTCCTACAGGATGTTGGATAAAGTTGTTTGATTGCAGTAAAAAGACAGAGCTTTATATTTGTCTTCTGTCAACAGATGGAGAGCACGTAGAGAGCACCACGCTCATCGATGCTCTGCTGGACAAGGAATTCCAGCTCGTCATCAACGAGGCCGTCTATGACGTCAAAGCACCTGAAAAAGGTATGAAACACGTTTCACCCCGACCATAAGATCAGTTCGCCTGCCTCTCAATTACACTTAATCATAAAAGGCATGTTTTATCTCTCCATGCGTGACTCGTTATGTCCACTACTGCAGTTTGTGTATCCAGTGAGCACGTCATGGAGCTGGAGGACATGAAGCACGTTGTGCACCTGCTGCACACAGCGCTCCACATGCCCGAGCACCACCTGCTGAAAGAGAGGGAGCTGCTGGAGAAACTGGACAACCTTAAACAAGAACTGTCGCCTCTAGAGAAGGTAAACAATGTATCTGCCACTACATGCATTTGTCAGTCTATATTTCCAGAACAGTGTTTAGAAAGTGTCCCGTTAGTTCTGCTGGTCAAGCATCCATGAATCAGCCGTTTAACAGTCCCCCTTGTATCATTTCCTGACAGATGAAGGCTCAGCTGTCTCAAACTGCAGAGTTTCACAGCTCCAAGGTTCTCTGGACCGGCATGGCCCTGCTGTCTGTGCAGGGTGGAGCTCTGGCCTGGCTCACCTGGTGGGTCTACTCGTGGGATGTGATGGAGCCTGTCACTTACTTCATCACCTACGCCACCAGCATCGGAGCCTTTGCCTACTACGTCATGACCAAACAGGCAAGCTACAGGGACATATAACCCAAATATAACTCACAGGACATTTTGGGAAATGTGATTGTATCTTGCAAAGAGTTGGATGAGGAGACTGATACCAGACTCACACCTATCTGTTAAATAGGATAGGTGGTTCTCATCTAACTCTAAGAAAGCAAATTATCACAATTCACAAAGTGTATTTCTTAAAAGTATATAGTTAAACCAAAAGTTTGGTTGTGCAAATTCGTGCATTTGTTTATATGTTTTTTTGTCCACATTAACAGTAAACATAATTTCTTGTCTCCCTCAGGATTATGTCTATCCAGAGGCTAAAGACAGACAGTTCCTGCATTACTTTTATAAAGGGGCCAGCAAGAAGAAATTCAGTGTGGAAAAATACAACGAACTGAGGGATGAACTTGCTCAGGTTAGTTGATGTTTCCAGTTTTTATTATCTTCCACTTATCTAAATCTTAAGCTACAGATACACACTGTAGTCACAATCAAAAATGTAAATAAAACTATGGATGTGGTCATCGCTGAGAAGAAAATACATTTAGCAGCGCAAACTGGTGACTTGGAGATTTATTGTTTTTAATCGCATCTGTACAAATATGCAACATCCGGTTGGTGACGCTTCCCGATCAGCTCTCTCTCTCACTATTGCAGGTTTCTGTAGGAGCCGATTATCAGCGAGGCTCCGACTCAGTCGGTAGCATTAAGACTATTTTGTAAACCCCCCACAGTTCAGGATTTACGTGGGCACATAGTCGGCACCAAGTGGCCTCCAGCCAAAATTGGACCGATTTTCCTCTAGTATGCAGCAGCCTTAACATGTAACCTTTAAAAAAAATGTTTTTAAGAGGGTTCAATACTTGGATGTTTAAATCCCACAGAAATAATGATTAATGATAAGGGTTCTGTGTGCGATTGTTTTCTGTCAGGTGGAGGAGGATCTGAGACGCCTGAAATATCCAACTCAACATCAGCTGCCACTCGAACAGATTCAGCCAAAGCCATGAACCGAAGCCAAGCCACCAAGGGTCGCTGCCACACACACACACTAAGGAGCAAAAACAAATTTTCTGCTTAATTTTGATAATGGTCCCTTTTTAACCAGGAATCCATACCATTCTGCTTTTGTTTACAGTATTGACAATGATGCCAATAATATCTTATAAAATACTAACACTGTTGAAATAAAACGTATTTCCCCAACACTGGGAGCATCTCCTGTCTGTCTGAGGTGTCTATTTATGGAAATCTAAAAGATTATGATGCCAGTAGACATAATGACGCCATTTTATTTTAGTGTATGAAGATTTGCAAACAATTTCTAAAATAGTCCTTTGGCCAAAAAACAAAGAATTTTATGTTTTTTTAAATGCATGGACAGCACAATTGATGTCACACAGGATTTATTGTAAAAAAAAAAAGTCACATGATTCAGACCACAAAAATACAGAATGCGTGTTTGCTGGTAGTTATGTATTTCCTGAGTATTGGTCATGCAACACAGCTGAAAGTGTTTTAGGTCCACAGTACGTGTTTTAGAACAGGACACCCCTTCTCCCTGAGGTAGTTTTCCTCATTGTCGTTTGCTGCTGTTTTGGGTGCAAATACGCAATATTAAAATTTAGTACCGTGAACTGCTACAACACAAAGAATAGCACAGACATAAATTCCCTTTTTGGTGGCGTGAGTTAGGACAAACAGCATGTTAATGTTGTCCCTGGATAATGTGTGTACGCAATCATTGATGCTGATAGAAACAGTTAAACCATGATGTGAACAAAATCATCATCGGTATCATCAAGCCCGGTTGCTGTGCTGTCAGGTCACCTGCCTCACAAAGAACATACAGTGAGTGGGGAAATATCTGACATACATGCAACTGATTTTACAGCAGAGACAAAAAGAAGACAGTACTGTTGTGGTACCACAGTGGTTTAAACTGGATTTAACAAGGCTGTGTAGACTAGCTAACACAGAAGGTGGTCCATGGTCATCTTTCCGTTAGAGTTACAGTGGTAGGATAAAATAACAGGAAGGAACATCTTACCACATACAGCAATCCAATACACGAATTAAGATCTCAGTATTAACTGCTGATTTCACATTTCTGGCACAAAGAAAGCAGTGGAAGAAATTACATTCACATTTGTCTTTATAAAGTTTATATTTAATATGGAGTCACCCTGAGACTGGACATTTTGGACCAGAAAGCCTCTGGAAGGTGGAAAAAGAAATCATCTGGTAAAATACATTTACTGTAAAGATGCATTCAGGGCTTCCTCCAGGAAATTATTTAAATTGTTTAGCTCAAGTGGAAAGTCGCCCAGATCCTGAATTTAATTACTAAAGAACACCCAAAGATTACTCATGTATAAAAAGCATTTGCTATATAAAATGCTTACTCCGCTCCTTTCCTTCCTTTTTAATATTCGATTTTTTAAAAAGTACATCAGCTTTAATGATGTTACACATGTGGTCTTTGTTAGTCTAACAGCCGCAGTAAAGAACTAGTTATCTAATAAACAATACTAAGGGATAATCACATTTATTCATTTTTACCGACTCATTAATCTGAGTGGCTGTGCTACAGTATAATGAAAACACAGTGCTGTGCTGAGTTTTACAGTTGAGTTTGCAGGACAGACTTTTTTATAAATCTTTTGAACACATGTAGCTGTGATGAGTCTCCAATATACTGATTTAGCTTGAGAAGGGCACTCAGAGAGCGCATACCTACACAAAGGCTAATGCTCTATCTCGCCATATGAGAAAAAACTCTAGATCCTCCATAATCCGGCGAACCAAGAAACGCAGATGAAAACATAACGTCCTCGGTCGAGGTAAATACTGCAGGGCTGATATTGGATTACATTATAACCTAATCTTATCCTAGTTTTTTTGTTCACTTTATCGTGGAAAAACAGGTAAAGAGAGTTGATTAGTCTGTGTCATTCACTGGTTTACAGGTACCTGGTCAGTAATCATATCCCCGTCTTGATCCTCCTGACATGTTGATGCATACATTTTTAATCACCTTCATTAACTGAGTCATGGTTCTACCCAGACATGATTATTATTTCTCAATGTGAAACTTGACAGGTTTCAGGTGTGATCGCCTGAGCCCAGGAGAACCTCCACATTTCATCTCATCGTGGGAAAGGCACATTCCTGTTATTTTAGAACCACTGGTTTGAATGGAAATTTTACACCTGTAAATTAGCAGGTTGTTGATTGCATCTGTAGATAATTGTGCTCAGCAACGACATACAGAAGTGGACCACAGGAAAAACATCATTTACATCTGAATTTAACAGAATCTGTTGCACAGGAAACAATTTTAAAAAACATCTTATTCAATGACTGATCAGAAACTGTTACTTTTTTGGTCTGAAGTATAGTTTCTTGGTGAGCATTGAAGCAAAGCAAGGTACTTGCTTCTTCCCGATGGCGTTCCGGTCACTAGAGTTCCCAACGCTCCTCATTGACACTTTTCTGTTGACCAACGTGAGAAGCTCTGTGATTTCGAGCGAATCCCCGAACCTTTGAAGCAGCTCACATAGATCCTGGATATACCAGGATCCATTGATGGTCTCCCGGTGGGAATAGTAGCCTTAACAAAAGGACACAGAACAGGATGTTTACTGACTGGACAGCAAACAGTGACTTAAATATACTAAAACACACTTGTTTCCAAAAACAACAGTTACTGAAAAATTTCAGGAAAATGTTCAGACTTCAGTGCATGTCTGAGGGCAGCTTGAGCATGAATGTCCCCACCCAGAGCAGATTATGAGTGTTGAACCAACTGCTCACCTTCAGCCACAGAGTAGCACATCAGGAAATCAGCTCCAGCAGGGAGGGTGTAGACAGCGCTGGCGTCCACCACCACCTCATTCGTCCTAATTTCATTGTCCACGGCATCGCAGGCCAGCACTGGGTCATCGTGCTTGTCTCCACGACACGCCTAGTGACACACACAGCCACGGTCATGTTTTAAGTTTGCGAAGATTTCAAAATAAAGCTTGGTAATACTACATGTTGTCTTTTTCTAATATTGGACTGGGTTCTCTCTTCTTTTTTTTTTAGGTACCTGTAAGATAAAGATCTTTGGTTTTCCTACAAGACTCTTGCACTTGTCTCCTTTGAACATGGCTGTGATGTCCTGAATAGCGATCTTGCCGTCGTATGTATAAACGTGGTCGTTCTCACCGTGGCTCAGGAAGATGAGCAAAAAGCAGTCTGCTTCTGAGTGATTGGCCCCAGAAGCTGGTGGGATGGAAGGTCATTGTTAATTGTAGGCCTGAATGAGACAACGTGTATAACAATACAGCAAGGAAACATGTCTGAATTTAAACTACTAGTTTAGATAGTTCTAGTAATAGTTATATTATAATAATACCACATGAATATACATGAGTCATTGAGAGGCGATAGTGTGTTTACCTGAATTGATTATTTCTAAGACCTCCTCCTGTTTGTAGTTATCGTAACTTTTCACTTCAAAGCCCAGGGCAATCAGCCTGAGGGAGGTGAAAACTAGTTTAGCAATTGAGAAAACACTGCTAATACAAGATGTTATCACAGACCCAATTTATAGCTGCAAAACAAGTACAGACAAGTTGTTCTTAAGCCAAGTGATACCTTCTCTCCAGGTTGTAGCGATCAGCGTTGGTCCCGTGCCTGTCGTTTAAGCCCAGGCGCCAGAAGAAACGCTCCTGGTTAAAGATGAGCGCAAGGCCTCGTCTTTTGTTGGTCATCTTGTACTCCTCTGCAGGATCCAGAGCTAAAGAGCTGATTTCAAAATAAAGCAGTTGAGTATTAGACGAGTACTGGACCGGAGTGAAGTGAGAATTTCCAGCCAATGAACACACAAAAACAAACTGAAACCTTCATTTTACCTTCTGATGAAGGCATCTGTCTCCGTTAGGTTCTCCGTGCATGCTATAAGAAACATAACATATATGAATAGTCTACGTTACAAGGTAAGTCTGGCTTTATACAGAGATTCTACAGGTTTCAACAAGATAAATTTAAGACTTTAAACGACCATAATCCGAGTGAAGAATTAAATTAACATAACTTAGTCTATCTCAACATATTTCAGACCTATGCAGATCTGTGCATAATATATTAACATATCTAAGACTTTTTATAAGGCCTGAAATTCAGATTACTGAATTTTAGACTTTTAAAGACCCTGTGAAAATCCCTTTAATAGCTTTTCTTTTAAAGGTCACAATTACTGTTATTGTTGAAAATACATAACGCTCATTCAATTCAGTTTCCTTCATTCTTGGCAGACCAGGTCTTAAATATAGTGAACAAAGTAAGTAAGTATATTTGTGTCACATCATTAGAAACCATGAGGATGTGCAGCATCAATGCTGTAGATTGTTTTCACATGTTGGCACACACATTTCAATATGTGTACAGATGATGTTACACCTTTTAGAACCTTTTGTGTATAAATTTAAACAACCTAAACTGAGTCGACACTACTCGTCATGTGATTGTACTTCTGTGTTTATTATTTAAACTGCTATTGACGTATGAACCTGAAATAAAGCTAAACTAACTAACATGGCATGATTGAGCTGTTTTCATGCTGAGGTGAAACTGCAGGTGCGCGTAGTGCTCCACTGCTGCTGGGTTTGGGGTCAAGCAGCCATTGTTCCGTCCTCAATGGCTGGATGACAGATGGAGAAAGTTGGCAAAGAACAGAGGCCAAAAGTGACACCTCCACACACACCACCCTCCAAATATGTAGACTGTGTGTGGAGGCAGTAGCTCGGGGGGGGGGGGGGGGGGACACAAATTGAAAGGTTTTTATCTAAAATGAAAATCAGTGTATGAAGGCATTTCTGCGCTGTACTTTATGCTTGTGTGTTTTTTATTTGTTTTACACTGAGTTGTCTATTTATCAGGTACACCTGGCTAAATCCTCAAAATTCTATAAATTGTTTATCATTTGCTTTTTAACTATTACGTATTTTTTGTGTTCAATTTTTAATTGTTTATACTTGTAAAGCACCTGGTGACTATGTTTTAAAATTTGCTTTTTAAAGAATGTTTAATATTTATTATTAATATTACTGTCTTAAATGTCCTGGTGAGCTTTTGGTGAAAAGTATTGAGCCAGCTTTAAAGTGATTTGAAGGCACTGAGGTGTATTTGTGTGTCCTCATCTTTAACAGATCAACTCCAACAAGGAGGTTATGTTTTCACCCCAGTTGGTTTGTTTCTTTGTTTGTAACCAAGATAACTCAAAAGATTTGGTGCTTTTTAGAATTGAAGTGGATATTCAATGTTGGATGTATGTGCTCTACTCAACGACATCCTAGTGGTTTGATCTGTTTGTTAGCAGAATTGCACAAAACACTGCAACTGATTTTCCATGGGATTTTATTTGGATGGGTGGGGCATGACCCAAAGGAGAACCCTTTAAATTCTTGGTCTGGAACTAGCTTGAGGGGAGGATCCACACATTCCTTTTTATTATTTGAGTTTTTCAAAATGTTCCCTGATTTCTCAGACAATGAGTGTATGCAATATTGTAGATCCAAATGAAGTGTTTTGAGAGTTTCCAGTTTATTAGGAACACCTACATATCACATACACTATAACACAATATACCTCAACCCCATGAAAGTATTTTTTTTACATTTTACATTTGTGAAATCAAGATAATCAAAGCAAAACAATCTACAAAGCAGGGCTGTCTCAGCTTTCACTTCAAACTTTATTGATCCATGTTGAGTTTCTACAAGACGGGAATTAAAGTCATATCCTGATTATTCTTCTTTCTGCTCCTTTTCATTCAAGATTTTAGATTTTGTGTTTGCATTTAATTTAATGTTTTGTTAGGTCAAAGAATGAAATAAACGTATATGAATAAATAAAGAAACATGCAGGAATAGTGATGTCTGGGTTGCTGATTGAGCTCACAGTTTGAATTGACTGTATTTTGGCCTTATGGGTAATAACACCTGCTTTCTCCAAACATTTACCTTGGTGTGTTTCACTTTGGTTTCGGTAACACCTTGTGTCTACAGCAGCAGAAGTCTGTGAATGTGGAGTTTACTCACCCGCCCTGTCTGTTGCTGTGTGGCTGTCTCTGGCAACACTTCCTGGTTAGATGACACAGAACACCAGTTAAACGCTGACACTGAAGTGGTTTGGATGACATTAGAAACCATTGTCGTGACTTTGAAGACTTTGATTTAAGGCGTCGCGGTTTTTTCAGGAGAAACCAGTCGGGAGATTAAAAAGTATTCCCTCGTGTATTTTTGAGATGTCTCACACATGAGTCCACAGGTGACTTGTTAAATACACATGTAAGGGTTTTACCTTCCCGTGAGTCTCCCGCCGACATGTTCCCGATCCCTCTCTCCTTCCGAATGAAAAATGAAGTCGCTTCGTCGAAAGAAACACCGACGAGCCAGAGATTTAGCTCCTCCCTCCAGGCGAGATCTTATTGGCCGACCGAGTCCAGCGGAGAACGCGGTTGGCTCTCGCCACCGTCACTCAAAGCCTGACGGCCGGGACTTCCGTGTTCGTCACATTGCGAAGTGAAACTCAGGTAGATTTAATAAATCTAACAATAAACAGATTAAGAGAAGAATCCAGTTTATTCCCGTTTACCAACCAAAGTGTGGAAAACAATTAAAAACCGCAGAAGACTAGATCTACAGCTGATGGCATGTTTGCCTTGACTTCGTGTTCTATTCCTAAAAATGATCAATTATCAATGAAAATACCGATTAAGGTTAATTTTAGTGAGATCACGTTAAGTTTATCAAACATATTTTTCTCTACGAAACATCACAAACATGGAACACATATATTTAGTTTATTATTTAACAGTTCAAAACAAAAAATATTACCATTAAATTATTACTGTTATTTTACAAAAAATATTTTATGACGAAGGAAAGTAGCAAATCATCGGACTTAGTAGGCTGGACTTAATATTTGTTTTTTTTTGTTTTTTTTTCTTGAAAATTACTGAAACCATTACTTGATTATAAAGAACGAGTTGCCAATTATTTTTTGTTGAGCAACTTATTGGTTAATCGACTTATTGTTTCAGCTATGTTGCAGTCGATCATTAAAAATGATCTGGATAAGCATGGATGAATGAATTAACGTGAATTAACTTTAATAACATGTGCTGCATGAAAGATAAACAGTTTCTCCAATATTAATGACTATTAATGACTGTACTACATAAAGACATGTTTCATTATTGTAGTGACATTTGAATCCAGTGTCTACACAATGTTATCACATTTGCCTCAGCTGAGTTCACTGTAGTGTCTCCCTTCATGCAATATTTGACTGATTTTATAAAAGGTAGAAACAAAACAGTTTTTATAAAAAAATTGTTTTAGATGCTGTAGAGACACATTCTTTACTAACTTGCCAATCACGTTTCTATTAAGCCCATGGGTGATATGGCCAGTTATTATCTAATCATTTATTTAAGGTTTTCTGGACATAACAATGCAAAGAGGTGATAATAATAATTGGGTAAATAAAGATACAGTGAGGCTGTTCAATTAGTTTGTTGTGCTGAGTTTAAAATCAGTTGCTCATTCACAGAAAAAATGCTACATTTAAACCTCAGAAAATCTTGTTGACTGTGGACAAAATGCTCTATGAAGCATGTTCAGCTGTACACCAACTAAAATCCTTCAGGTTAAACTGACTTAGCTTTACACATTTGGTCGTACACATTCAAACCCAGGAAAACCCCAAATACTCTCAAAAGACAAACACGTCATACAGTTTTGACAAAATATAAATAATTAACTGCACAGGAAATATATTAATTGTCCACAGATGTAAACTAAAGTAATTTCACATTCACTTGTCTAACAGAAGTGTGTCTTTCAAATTCAGACAAAAAAGGGAGCGGAGCAACTCTACCCACACTCTGTCCCTGAGAAAATCTTCGAGTGTGAACAAGAAGGATATTGCTGGGGTTTCTCTCCTCTCTCGGTGTTGTGCCTCTGAAACCAGTCTTTTACGATTCGTTTCTGTGGCCGTGTCACAGTTCCCTCTTCATTTCATACTGACACACACAGGAGTCTCTCTGGCTGTCCAGGTACGGTTTACATCCCATGTGCATCACAGCATCGAACAACAGATTCACCGCCGTCTCACAAGCTGCCGAAACAGAGAGAAAGAATCATGAAGGAATGACAAGGAGAACAGGAGCATAAACACGCACAGATGAAAATCTGTTTGAAAAGAATCAAATACAGATTTTAGTTTATTGTGCATTAAGAACCATCCAAAATCTAAGTAGCATTGAGAGCTAAATCAAATTAAACATTAAATGTGGATTCTCAAATATAGAACTTGAGGCATTTTCAAAACCTTAATGACTATCAGAATAATCCAGATGATTTAACCCAGTGTTTAAAAGAAAGGATTGGCCGGGTGACACTGATTTGAGTCAGTGTGATTTGGATTACTGTATCCAGATACACAGTGTTTGACATAAAGCCCTCTCTTGCCCTCTGCTGGACATAAATAATATTTCAACTGTTTGTACACTTTAACCAGCATAATCACACAGGTCAAATCAAATCTGTAACTTTTCACAATTACTCTACAACGTACTTCTGTGTACATTCATTTTATAAAATATAAATGTCAAACATGTCAATAATTTTTTAATGTCTAGTGGTGATTAAAAAGACGGTTGTGCTGACTAATTACAAACACTGATACAGGACAGACTTCTTGAAAAAGTAAAAAAAATAATAATAATCACCATCAGGAAAATAAGTAAAATAAGTAAAATAACTAAAAATTTACAGAAACTGCAAAAACATTTTCACAGACCCACAGATTGGTTTGTCATATGGAATTCCATCACATGAAAGGGACTCAGCCTCTCACCTTGGACACTCTGCTCCAATCCCAGAGTTCTTTGCACGTTCCTGCAGATGGTCTCCAGACAGTCCTGGAACTGCTCATCGCAGTCATGCTTCTCTCGGCCGCACGAGTCGTAGCAGCGATCGTGCTGGTTACAGCATTTGGTCATGGACGGGATGCCGATGTCAAACTGGAAACAACGACTTGGTTACTCTTTGATTGCATTTAGTGTGTTTTGAACATGATTCCTGTAAAAATGGCCTGGTCCCCACGAGAGCCTGGAACTCAACCTCACATGAGGAGACAGGGGAAGCTGTTTCAAAGCTTTAAAACCGGGAACCTCTGTGCTAACCACCACTAGCCAGGGTGGTGCAAAGTAAACATAAAGTGCAACACAATGGTTCATACACAATCCATTCACTGTGCATATTTGTCCTTTTTTACACTGCATATATTAGTTTTAGTTCCCTTCATATTTTTCAATATTTTTTATTTTTCCTTACACTTAAGTACTGCATGTTACTTACTGAGGCCTATTGGACTCTTGCTGCTGTAATACTGCGAATGTCTCCACTGTGGGACTAATAAAGGATTATTTTATCTTAAATGCACAGCTTTTCTATATTGTCCAGTTTGTGAAATAAACGATTTTCATATCCGCAAACATGAATGCAGATACAGATATATGTCTGTGAAAGTGCCCACTGTGTGGCAGCTGACACACAAACAACACACTACCTTGAATCCGAAGAGTGGGGAGCCACATCCGTTGGGTGGCGGCTGCTTGTACCCAGGACGAGGCACCGGCTTGTAACCTGTGAGACAGGAGCAAAGGTGAAGACGCTTTCTCTGCTTCTTCTGCTGACAGTTATCTTGTTGTCAGAGATAAACACATCATGTACAGTTGAATGTCTTACTGTGCCACTCAAGGGGAGGTAACACACATGTCCCAAAGCTCTCAATGGATAAATCAACTCAGACTGTAAATATGTCTCTTCATTATGATCCAAAGCTGTTTTTATTGAATTAGCAGGTCAACACACATGTGAATATCTCCAGCTGTGAAACATGACTTCTGACACAAAGTCACTATTAATCTTCTTAAAGGTTCAGTGTCAAAGATTAAAGGTTCAGTGTGAAGAATTTAGTGATATCTAGTGTTGAAGGTGCATGTTGCAGCTGAATACCCCTCACCTCACCCTCTCCTTCCAAACATGAAAAAGAAACTGTGGTAGCCTTTAATTGTCATAAAAACTCAAAAGGTGTTTAGTTTGTCCAGTCTGGACTAATGTAAAAAACATGGCGGCCTCCGTAGAGAGGACCCACTCGATGTAAATATAAAGTATTTAAATATAAAGGGTCTTTTCTGGGGTAAAGAAAACTACAATTCATACAATTTAGATGAAACACAATAGTGAAAACATCATTATTTCATATTCAATTTCTGCCAATAGTTCCCTTTCACCTAAATCTTACACACTGGACCTTTAAGGTGAAAGGGAACTATTTGCAGAAATTGAATATAAAATAATGATGTTTTCACTATTGTGTTTCATCAAAATTGTTCTAATTGATGTTTTCTTGACCTTAGAATGAACCTTTAATATTTAAATACTTCATATATACATCAGGAGCAGGTCCTCTCCATGGAGGCTGCCATGATTGTCCAAACTGGACAAACGAGCAGTTTTTGAGTTGTTATGACAACTGAAGGCTCCCACAGGTCCTCTCTCATGAGAAGGGGAGGGTGAGGTGAGGGGTCTTCAGCTGCGACATGACACTTCACCACTAGGTGTCACTAAATCTTACACACTGTACCTTTAATAACAGCTATGTTTTCTAAATCAGAAGCTGGTTTACCATCACTACACCTGTAATGACACAGCCCGTCATCTCCCCCGAACAGGTCCAGTGCTGCGTTCAGGTACGTGTCGATCTTGTGTATTCCGTTGCGGATGGTTTTCAGGGTGGTCCTCCAGTCCGGAGTCTCCGGCTCCTGCTTCCAGGAGAACACACGTGGGAAAACCCCGCAGCAGAGCAGCCCCAGAAGGACAACACGGCCGAGGCCCCTGTGGCACAACATGACCCCCGTCACGTTTGGCTCACAGACCCGAACCCGACACGTTGGCTCGACTTCACGTTTGTTTATTTCTCGGTGGTTTGTCTCGGCGTCATCTCAACTTTCGTTTCTGCTTGTTTTCACGTCACCTCAAGTCGGAGTGATGTCACCTGACGCGGCCGGGGGGGGGGGAGGTCGTTTCCGGGTTTGACGCTGTCACGTGGCCGCTGATAGGCCAATGGAGAACACGTTAGGAACTGCGACGTCAGCAAATAAACGACTTAACTTTATCCTAAAGGTTCAGTGTGAAGAATTTAGTGACATCTAGTGTTGAAGGTGCATGTTGCAGCTGAACGCCCCTCACCTCACCCTCTCCTAACAAACATGAGAGAGAAGCTGTGGTATTCTTTAATTGTCATAAAAACTCAAAAGGTGATTAGTTTGTCCAGTCTGGACTAATGTAGAGAGGACCCCCTCGATGTAAATATAAAGTATTTAAATATAAAGTATTTAAATATAAAGGGTCTTTTCTGGGATAAAGAAAACTACAATTAATACAATTCAGATGAAATGAATTAGTGAAAACATCATGAGGATTATTCTACATTCAATTTATGCGATTGATCCCTTTCATCTAAATCTTACAGACTTTAAGAAAAACGAGAGTCGATGTCGAAATAACTTTTTTCTAACTCTCATTATTATTATTATTATTACTATTATTATTATTATTATTATTGGTATTATTGTTGTTGTTGTTGTTGTTTTTGTTAATAATAATTAATTTCAAGAGGAATGTTTTGTTTTCACAGTTTACTCTGATTTATACATATTTACTTTATTGTGATGCCTTAAGTTTCTATTTTTGTTCATGTGTTTGTAAGCAATTCTATAAAGATGAAAAAAAGATCATGTCTTTGATATTTTAGTCAATTAATATAATTGTATATTTTACTTTCATTTATTGCCCACCGTTTTTATTACAGTTAGTTTATTATGGTCTTCTATTTATATTTTCATTATGGTTATCATATACATGTGTACATGTCTATTGCCATCAGACTTGTGGTTGGGTTACGCCTACAATATTTTGAATATTTATCCTATATATTCTCATTTGTAAGTGAAACTGTTAAAGTTAAAAAAATAAACGGATGGTTAAAATTTTTATTTAGAGGTGTACAAAAATTACACGTGTTTTAACTGTTATAATCAATTACTATTCTGATCGCTTTGTCTATAATTGTCTTAAAATTATGAAACTGTTTCTCAAAGCCCAACCCCCTGTTATCAAATGTTTATCTAACAGTCCAAAAGTCAAATGTATTCAGTTTATAATCATATATGAAAAAGAAAAGCATCAAAACCCCCATATTTGAGGAAGCTGTAATAAATAGCAATACTTGGTAATTCATTTTCTGTGGACAAATGTATCGACTTGTCATTGCAGCTTTATTTTGTAGTATAGAAACATACCAGTCCACTGTCACAAAAATCTCATGATGCAATTTTTCACCACTTGATAAACTCCAAGTGAGAAAAGATGAACTGAGGCTTTTACATCTGAATCAGAGAAACAAATACATCCAGTCTATGGTAATAATTTTACTTTATTTAAATGGTTAGGCGAGCATTAAAGAAAAACCCTTTTCTTCTATAGTTACTTAAATAACTGCATACATTTCAAACATTCCAAAATGAAAATATACAACCATTTATGAAGAAGTTTCTGTGTCCTTCTGTGTTAGGTCCCAACCATCTTCACATTGTCAAGCAGTCAACATAAAAAAGTTCTCAAGTGGCAAAAATCATACATAGCTCCTCATGATCCAGTGATCTTCATCCGCACCTTGAATTAAAGAAGCTAAAAGATGCATTCAGTGTTCTTTACTTTCTTCTGTTTCTGAGTTCTTCAAAAGTGGATTTTTTCTGGGGATCAACACCAGCTGACGAACCTACAAAATCTCCAATCATATATTTATGTCACACAGATGATGATGAAAGCTGTTGGTTGATCTTAAAGACAGTGATTTTCTTATGAGTCACTACTCAAAGCTCATGCCTTTACACAATCAAGAGTCCTTGTCCTTGTTTCCAGGAAAACACGAGAAAACGGTGCGTAAACAAAAGTATATGGTCAGAAGTGTTCTACAGTGTGTGTGTGTGTGTGTGTGTGTGTAGACTGGCTCATAACAAGGCGTAACAAGGCGATTCCTGGGGTCAGGCTGGAGTGATGAAGAAGCGTAGTTGGTGGAGGATTTGAGGAGATCGACAATTTTTAAATTTCTGACATTAGAGCTAAATTATATTAAGATTTTGCTCCTAGTGTAAAGACTCTTCCTTAAAAAACATGAACATACACATCTATTCATATACATTTGTATGAGCTAAAAGCGTCCAGCTCATCCTCCTCTGAATAGGTTATTTAGTCTGTCCAGCTCCTTGCAGTTATCCATGGTCTGGTGCTCTGCCTTCTTGCGCATGCGGTCATCCCTGTACACCTTGGCAGCGTACAGCAGGTCTGTTTCTGGATGAGACCAGAAGGAAAGCACCATGAGTGGTACAACAAAACAGACACTGTTAGTGATGCCATTAGTGAATTCAGAAAGTTACTTTTGAGCATGTGTTTAAGCACTCACTTGTCTGTCGCTCCTTCCAACAGTTATTTCTGACATTAGCTACATAATCCTCCTCCACATTTTTCTCGATCTGCTGCAGCGCCGAGCCTTTAAACTCAGACTTGAAATCTTTACTGACATAGTAGTCGACGTGCAGGTTTTCTGTCTGTCGCTTTAAGGTCTGACCCGTGGACCTGGAAGAGAGGATGAGAGACAGATGACATTTTCTACCAAAAATATGTGAAAAGAGCATCTAATTGGGCACAATGAATGCAAATGTGAAAGAAATGTTACATAAAGGCTGGATAAGAAACTACCTCTAAAGAGTGCATGACACAAAGGTCCTGTTCAGACTTGATATAAACATCACAGCTTGTGGTCAGATCTCTTAGGACGGATGTTTATATCAGGTCTGAATAGGGTCAAAGTTTGCTGAAGACAGATGTCTGTGCATAAATATGTTAAAAGGTAAAAATAAGATAAAATAGTTTGTGTGTTTCAAATCTATCAGGTAAAGCATTAATGAAATTATTGTTGTAGTCAATTTTTGAGATATGACAAGTGAATGTCACATATAGGATTTATAACTCTGTGTGTGTGTGTGTGTGTGTGTGTGTGTGTGTGTGTGTGTGTGTGTGTGTGTGTGTACACTTACGGTCTAGAGTAGAGGCTGTAAGGTGGGGGGGAAACCATCATCTGGCTCAGTATCGACACTAATATCAGGACCACAATGGGCATCAACTGGATAATCATTGAGAAACCACCCTGGAGACAAACACAGTCCTTCATTTTCAACTACAAAGGTTTTATATAGGGAAATTTACACATGTAGCTTTGCAGAGTTGTGTTGTATATGTGTAGTGTTACACGTGTGCTAATAACAAAGTATGTATTTCTTAAAACATTTGAGATACAAGAACTTAAACCATCTACGTACATCTCCTCTTTCTTCTGTTCTCTCTTGTCGGTGATCTGTCTGATGGCTGTAGCTCGTTCTGCCGTTGGTGAAGGTGTGTGCACTTGCTGCAGAAAGAAATAATATTGATTATTGTTGTCAGAAACAAGTTTACAGGATACGTCAACTATATGTTCCTGCTGGAAACATTAGGCCAGAAGTGTAATTATGGTAAACAAATCAGACGCAAACATCCCAACGAAACCAAACACATCTAACGGTTTGATTTAAAACCAATTATTAGAACCACGAGTGGTGGCAAAATTTAGCATTTTTGCTGAAGGCACAAGACAAGAGGTACTAGATTCTGTTAGTCACAAATGAATCTCAACAGAGACATGCATTCAAGTGCTTTGTCATGCGTGGATTTCTTCTACCACATAAAGGATTCCATTCATTTTTCATTCTTAGTGTAGGTAGGGTGTGCACCAATAAAAGTGATAAAAGTACTGCATTGATAACATGGCAATAAAAATAATATTCTCGAGT